TCTTCTATTCCTAATTCTTATTATTCTTATTCTATTCTATTCCTTATTTCTCTTCTCTTTTCTCTTCTCTCTCCTCTTCTTAATTCTAATTATTCTTATTCTTATTCTATTCTGTGTTCTATTTCTATTCTGTTCTGCCCTGCCCTGTCCTGTATTCCTTTTTTCCCCATTTTTAAAATAGGGATTGAAATCTCTTCCCTTCCTCCACCCTTGTCAAGCTTGCAAGGTGCCAGCGGGCTGGGTTCCTCTTCCATGTGGAAGGTTTGACTCCTCTCCTGCTTCCTGTTTCCTCTTTAGGGGCGGTGGGTGGGAAAAAAAATTCACTTAGAAATTGCAGGTTTGATCGCCTTGTCTCGCCTGACAGCCGGCTGGATAATTTGTCTCTCGGCTTCCGGGAGGGGAGGATGGAAGTCAATTTGACAGCTGCACAACTCCCCGAGGATCCTGGACCCGGCAGCGTGCAGAGTAGCGACAGACACAGCAGCGGCTCGGAATACCAATGAAGCGTCTGGCGAGGGCCGCCGGTGCATCACGGCGCAGACGACGAGGGGGCAATTATAGCTGTTGCAGAAGGGCACGGAGGGGGCCTAAGGGGTGAGGGTGGCACTTTAAGGGGGCTGGGTGGGAAATGCCCCAGCCTTATTCTGGGAATAGTCAGAGAGGAAACGGGAAGATATTGGCGACACTTCAGGAACGGACCAGGAATTTTGACCCAGATTTGGCTGCGTTTGGTCTCTTGTGCTGGAAATGGACTTTCACCAATCTGTTGCCCTCCCCTAAATGGGTGGGATGTGGATCCCTGGGGATTCAGCAGTCTTAGCCATAGCCCTTAGACTTATATACCGCTTCACGGGGCTTTTACAGCCCTCTCTAAGCGGTTTACAGAGTCAGCCTATTGCCCCCCAACAATCTGGGTCCTCATTTTACCCACCTCGGAAGGACAAAAGGCTGAATCAACTATGAGCCAGTTGATCAGGATCGAACTGCTGGCAGTGGGCAGAGTTAGCCTGCAATACTGCATTCTAACCACTAGGAAGGAAGGAAGGAAGGAAGGAAGGAAGGAAGGAAGGAAGGAAGGAAGGAAGGAAGGAAGGTAGCAATAGTACTTAA